CCCCTCCGTCTCCGGGATCGGCGAGGCGGGCTGAAACGCCGCCGAGACAGCGGGGCGGCCGGGCCCGCCGCCGGCCCCCGAGCCGGCCGTCCCGGGGCCGCCCCCCGCCGCCCGGGTCGGTGGTGCCGCCGCCGCCGCCCGGTGCAACGGTCGCGACCGGGAGAGATGGAGCCGCCAAGCAGAAGGGCTCACCCTCGCCAAGGTAGCTCCCCGGGCACTGTGAGAGCTCCCTGTCTACTACTAATATACGTCTCTGTATAATAACCTAGCTGCAGGAATTGCAACGTGCCTCCTGAAATAATACAAGCTAAACGAGTAAAACCTTTTATTTAACTTCTTTTAAAAAATAAAAATCGCACCTGTGAATGAGTACTGGCCTGGGTGGAAGCGTTCAGCTGCGTTCTGCAACTTTTCCTTCCCAGGTGTCGGTCTTTTGCCAACGCTGGTTGCTCAGCGTTACTGTCAAATTCCTTCATCTCCGGGTCCGCGCTGCCAGTTCGCTGCTGCAGTCTGCAACCTCCTTCTTTCTCTTCTCCTTCCCCAGCTTCTCTCCCCTTCCAATACATCCTAGCTTGCCTCTGATTCCCCATAAGCAGGTGTGACCTTGTTTCCCTTTTTCGTCTTAAACAGAAATGTTTCCCAGTCTTTCTGTGATAAGAGCCGTTACCCTTGTTTTTTTAGATTGTGTATGACTTCTGTACGTAAACACCTCCATACCAATGTGTAGTAAGGCTTCAGTTTCTCGTACGCTTGTTTCTGCCATCTCTTTCATTCCTAAATCCTTGCTGGTTTGACCTGTGTGAATTTAGGTCTTTGTCCAGGAAAACTTCGTTCCTACAAAATAGCACTCGAATAGGTTAACAGACTGAAATCTGCAGGAATTATGGATGTATATGGTGATTAATTGTGAAAATTATGGTTGCAAGACACTGTTTTTTTTTTTCCAAGTTCATCAGAGCAAGATGCCTGCCCTCTCCTTTGCCTCAAATCTAAGCCTGGTTATCTTAAATGATTAATGAAACATAGTATCACTGTGCTACTCTTACCACCTCCTTGCTGCTACTATTGCATGTTACTTTTAAGCCCTTGGCATGCTACGTGCTGTTTGAAAATCTTTGTACACAGTGGTTGTTTTCTGGGGAAGGAATTAAAAAAATGCGACAAAACTTTAAAAGCTGATTGGTTGCCTTCAAATGTTTTCCTTCTTTTTCTAAAAGTGTCTCTAATCTGTGGGTTGTTGAAATGCACATCAACTTGGCACAGTCTTCGTGGTTGCCAAGTATGAGCCAGTTGGATCTCAAGGAAATGTAACTCACTGCAATCAGTCCCGTGGCGACTTTTATTTCACCGAGAAGCAAACATCTTTTGGTGAGTCATGGGGCATTGTTCCCTACAAACTAGCTGTCAGGAAGTGGACTCTGACAAAGCTGATGGGACTCTATAAAAACAGTTTTCCCCTACACCCAGTGCTGTTTTCACGTTCTTTGTGAATCATCAGATCGAGTCCTCTCAAATTCCCAATGAAGGCAGAATTAGCTACAATTCAGGGTGCGGTACTGTGGTACTTGCCTCTTTTCTTCTGTTTCTTCTGATAGTTCTAGTTCTTTCCTGCAGCCATGTATTTCACTGCTATTTCACTGTATTTCACCATGTATTTCCTTCCCATCCTGGTCAAGGCTTTTATTGTGCTTCCAAGTCTGTTTCTGGTGCATATGTCTTCTGTGTGGCCTTCGTGCACTGACCTCATTGAAAAGAGTGTCTAGCCTTTCCCCTTGTGTAAGCCATTTTTTCTGTGCCCCTCCAGTTATCTATGGCTCCCAAATCATCCTGAAAACCTCTGTGTACACCTGTGGAATGCTCAGCCTCAGGATGTGGCTGTACCTGCATCCACATGACTTTAAAGAGCAATGCCACTGTCTGGGGGGGATGCTCCAAAGCTAGCACCTGCATCACAGACTCAAAAAGATAGCCAGCTTTCACCTTTTTAGCATAGCTTCTGCTAGAAACAAGGTTTATGCCATCCCTTAATATGTGTACACACATACATCTTGGTATTTGTTCCTTAAATAATATTTTATTGCTATTTCCCAGTTCCAACCAAGTGTGATGTAAGAACAGCTCCAAGGTATTTACGTTCTCGCAAATTTCATAGAAACAAACCAGCAGGAAAAAGTAAGTCTAGAGTCAGACACTTGCCGCTTTTCTCCAGTTTTTAGGTTAGTGACTGAGTGATACCACCATTATGTGACTGGCTCTATTTGGCAGTAAGATGTTTCGTGTAAGTGGAGTTGTAAAGAGAAAAGGAGCGTTTTCTGGGTGAAAGCCCCTGAACTAGCATCTCCCTCAAAACTTCAAAGAAGATAAATAACTCTGATTTGATACATCACATTTTGAACATGGAAACAGAAAATCTTAGTATAGTTCAGTGTAAACACTTATTCAACCAAGGAATAAAGTTCTGAAAGAGATCTGAGTTCCTGAGTTGTGCTGGTCACAAAGCGCTTTGTTTTTACGTCTCTGCATCTCTGCACAGCTCCTGTCTTTGTTCTGCCAGGCACACATTTGCGCAAATGCATCAAGTACAGAAGGGCTATGATCTCAGCTACTGTCTTTAGATCTATTTTATTTTGACAAAATTAGCCAACAGTTTCAAGACTTATTGAATGTCATCATATAGGCATAATTCCCTTGAAACGAAACAAAAGTGATGATCACTCATCCTGACTCAGAATAATGTATTTCTTGATGTGGCTGGTAGGGCAAATCCCAGATCATTTGTAGCAATGGCAAGATAATGTTTTTTTTATTTGATTTCTTTTAACTGTTAGTCCTTGTCAACTGTAATGGGGTTTCATGGTACAGCTATGACCTGTCCTGGCAAACCTGTTCTACCATGTACACAGGTGCAATGATATCCTTAGAAAGACGGTCCCTTTACAACTGCATCACACGTGTCCTCTTAAATACTGTGGGCTAAGTGTGAATCCTGGTAATTCAGGCATGTGAAAGGAAAAAGCCACGTGGGTAACAGGAAAAATTCTTGAGCTCCAGAGATGTTAACAGAGGGTGTGACTGGCGTTACATGAAGACAAAGGTATTGAGGCACCTTAGATCAACAGGAATAAATATCAGGTTTGTAAGTATCTCTTTCAAGTCTGGCTGAAAACCTCCCTGCTGTCTTTGGAGCTTAGGCAGTGGAATACTTGTATTCGTCAAGGAAAATATCTCTTTAGGTAGTACTTACTGACAGTCTGTAATGTCTCAGCTTTCTCAGTCTTCATTTGACCGCAATTCTGTGAAATTTAAAAATATCAGGTGCTATTTTGATCATATGGGTCTGCTCTGCAAATAACTGAATGATAGGATTTGTGCCTTTAATTAATATTGATTAAATAAAAGTACTCTGAAATGACACAAGAAAAAAGTGAAAAGTGTTTAAAACTCAGTGTTTAAATTTCAGAACTCAGCCTCATATTGATTAGTGATGGGCCCCAAACTACACATCCTTGAATTTTCCTAAAGTTTTGGTCTGAAATGTAATTCCGCTGCCTGTAGCTGATATTGGCATATGCATTTAGGAAGGTAGAATTTTCTTACAACAATTCCTCTATGACTAGCAGTATTGTCAGCATCACCTTAAATACGTTTTTGTTCTTTTGTTTGAAAATTTATTTTTCTTGCTTGTTCTCTACTGTTTGACTGTTTAGGGCATAATAGTCAGAGTTTTGAAGAAACAGTGTCTTTTTAAATGCAGGGCAAGCAGTAAACATGCTGTCTGTTAGATATTGCTGTTGGATTCACTGCTTCAACTTATTGTTGAAGTGTGAATCTCTTGCTTATCATGGTATGTCCTTGTATAGCAAATAAATTGAATCACAAGAGGTACTTCTTGTACTAACAAAAAATGACTCATGGAGTTGTGAGCCCTGGAGTAATTAACTTCAGCTATCTGAAGTGGCCCCACCTCAACATTGAAATAAAGACGGTAGATCTGACACGGAAGTGCAGTCTCGTTGATACCACGTCAGGTTAATAAGCAATCTTTGATAGGTCGCTTTGTCTGTGCACACTGCTTAATTGTATTCCAAGAAAAAAAGCATTGATGTTAGAGATGATGTGGACTCACTCGTTTCCCTTCAGAACTGATTTTTCATGTCTCTGCTGGTACAAGCATCTTTTCTATGTTACACTTAAACAGAAGACACGGGCTTGATATGAAGTCCTTCATATCAAGAGATTTCAAGGGAATTTCTGCTTTGACTGTAATAGGCTGAGGATTAAGTGGTAATCTGAGCAGATGCACGAAATCACAGAATAAATTGAAGGAGATAGCAAGAACCATGAGATTGTAATTTGCTTGGAATTCAGATACCAAGCTGTGGCTTGCTTGTTTTGTTCTTGATTGGTGTTTGTTTAGTGGTGTTAAAAGGAAAAATAAGTGCTGTTATAGTTGTGCTATGCAGAAAGCTTTTTCAGAAATGTGACAGTAATACTTGGGAGCATAAGACAAATGAGAGGCCCGTGTGCGTTAGCTTGTGCTGGAGGACGTACTGTTATACTTAGTAGATATAGTGCCTGGCACCAGGAAATCCTAGAAACGCTTTACATAGGGCTACATGCTGCTTCTCTTGCAATTGATGATGACAATAATAAAATAATAAATGGAATATTTCAGTTGGAAGGGACCTACAGTGATCATCTAGTCCAACTGTCTGACCACTTCAGGACTGACCAAAAGTGAAAGCATGTTATTAAGGGCGTTGTCCAAATGCCTCTTAAATGCTGACAGGCTTGGGGCACCGACCACCTCTCTAGAAAGCCTGCTCCACTGTTTGACCACCCTCTCAATAAAGAAATGGTTCCTCATGTCCAGTCTAAACCTCCCCTGGTGCAGCTTTGAACCATTCCCATGAGTCCTATCACTGGATACCAGGGAGAAGAGCTCAGCACCTCCTTCTCCACATTTCCTTCTCAGGAAGCTGCAGAGAGCGGTGAGGTCACCCCTCAGCCTCCTTTTCTTCCAACTAGTCCAAAGTCCTCAGCTGTTCCTCATAGGATATGCCTTCCAGTCCTTCCACCAGCTTTTTTGCCCTCCTCTGGATGTGTTTGAGTACCCTGACATCCTTCTTAAATTGTGGGGCCCAGATCTGCAGACAGTACTCAATACAACCAGAGTTCTCGCGAATTCTGAAGCTGGTTACGTAGCTTCTGCTGAGTAAACAGTGTAGTCATCAAGGCCTTAATCCATGACTCCCAAACAACATACAGCACATGTTGTTGAGCACGTGGTTATCCTTCTCTTCGTGTGTTGGACTGATTTGGAAGAGCTGTGTTCTCTGCCACAGGTTTGCTCTGTGATGTTGAAGGAGCACGTACAATCAGAGGTTTAAAATGGGACCAGTGGTGTCAGGTGCTTCACGTGTTGTTGAGTGTCGTACCATCTGTCCGAGGCTGCATTTGAAAGATAGATGCTGCTGAGAGCATCAGTGTTTCCATCTGTGACAGGGGGATGCTAACATCTCATCTCATAGAGTACACCCAATGTGTGGGGCAACTGCGTTGTAGGTACCAGGAGGGTGTCATGGGTGAGATGGAGTAAGCCACCCATATTGGATCTAGATAATTGGGTTTATTTAAAAAACAGTAAGAATGGAGCTTTTACCCTACAAGATTATCTCCCACTGGCTCACCTGCTCACTCCACTGGACTGACACGACAGCAATAAAATTCAAGCTGTGAAAAAGGTGTAGAGTTACTTTTGGCTGTGTTTTCTCTTCACCTTACATAGAAATGATATGTAATTTAAAGCACTGCATACTTTTCTTTTGTTTTCCTGCCATTATAATGAGGCAATCCTCGCAGAAATACACACATTGCCTCTGATTGAGGAGTAGTTTAAGAGATGTAACAGCTGGTCTTTATCCAAGCTAAGTACCCTGTTGTCAGTACAGCCTGAAGAAGTTCAGAGGAGGCGAAGGTGGAAAGCATAGAGGCACTGGCATATCCGCTGCATTTTCGATTCAGTTAAATGGAAAGGCAGGGTCATGTGAGGAATTATGCCCCTGCCTTAAAGATTCTGTGATAAAATAAAAGAACCAGTCTTTGGAGCTGTCAGTTCTTCCCCAGGCTGTGCATTTCCTTTAGCTCAGCTGACTGATTCTTCTTAATGCAGAAGTCTCTTTGCATGAGCGCTCTTGAGTCTCTGTGAGAACGTGGTAGTGGTTATATGAATGGCAGATGACAGTGGTTGACAAATGTTGGTGATGTTTCTTATGTAAGTCAGCAGAAATGGTCCATAACTGCAGTGGGTAAGCAGAGGCTTTGTGTGAAGTATATATATAGCTAATAATGCTAGCTCAGTAAACAAC